CGCCGCTCAAACTGTTCCGAGTAGTACACAGGTCCCTTTTGCATAGACCCGTCGGGCCTCAAATCCGCGGCAGGCCAAAAGTAGTCTAGCATTAGACGCCGATGAGCGGCGCGGAAGTCACGCGCGACGTTCGGGCGACGGCCGGGACGAGAGCCGCCAACTTGCTGTGCTGTGTCCTGAAGTTGTAACGCCGCCATAGTTTGCATTTGGTACCACAAGACAGCGGCAAGTTCAAGCTCGTCCGAAGCTTCATCGTGGAGCATGTGGCGTAATGTGCCTTTCGTGGGCATAGTCACTGCGAGTAGCAACCAATTGGTTGGTATTGGTGGTTGGTCTTGCGAAGATGGAGAGGGAGTGGGAGGTGAGTGTGGGACCTCACCGTAAAGTTGTAGTGCTGACCGGTGGGGTGCCCATATGAAAGGAGGCGGTCCATTCTAAATTTAGTTGGACTCTGAAATCCACCGTGATTGAAGCACCAACGCAATCGTTACACGTTTGGAGAATATGGATTGGACCCCTCCCACCGCTGTGGACGCTCTTACATACAGAAGGTATTTAAATAGCCATCGTCCCGCATGGACGGTAAGAAAAATACAGAACAATGAACACGTTCACTTCAGACTAATCACCCTCCCGGCGGCCAACCGCTCCGGGATACGCAATAGTGATCACTAAGCACCTCATGGTTTTCACACTTATCTGTCATGAGGAAACCTGGAACTATGTCGGACCAGGGGTATTGGAATGTCGTACACCCCAAGCTGAAAAGGCTAGGTTGCAAGCAGATTCACAATTTTCTTAAGGCACGAGAGCAGTACTTGCTACGCGTCAAAGATTCCGGGGCCTCTGGTCACTCCCTCCCGACCGTCGCTTTTATTTCTTCAGTGGACCACGACTTGCTTTTGTCGCTGATCAAGTTGGATTGTTTTCCATCAGTCAGGGATTTCTCCAAACTGAGCGACGAAATTCATTTAAACTATTTAATGTCGAAAGATGAGGTCAAGTTGAAGTCAGTTTCGCTCGATGAACTGGAGACCGCAATCAAGGCCGCCGTACAGATTGATGTGAAATGGATGCGGAGCTTCGCATTCAGGCTTTGTTTACAGACTATCAGACTATGCTTCGAAGTTAGAAATGGGAACGTCTTGTTGATGACAACCCCAAGTTGGCTATCAGGCACGTGTCTGCATTACTGAATAATGTTGAAGAAACAAGATGACGCTTTATTACCTAAAGATCCTCGGTCCAGAAATGCCTACAGTCCGATTGATTATCCGAATGCTTATCCCGTCTTTCGCTGTCCCCCATTGCTGTGGACACAAACGTTGAAACAACGGCCAAAGCAGCGTAGTGGCGCGAGTCCCTCGCCACCTCCGGCCGCTATCCCAGCGATATTACCCGTTCCGGCGGATGAGGACCACCTTCGGCGTTTATTGGGGCTCGTGTTCGTGGCTCACATGAGTTTGAATTCTGCTTTGGTAAGTCTCAAGACGAGGGGTAGATTTAGAGTAAGAGACCGTAAGCAGCGACGGGGGATCGCGTTATCTTACCGAGCGCGTGAGTAAACAGTCTTGCATGGTTAGGCCAAGCAAGAAAGAGTAAGGAAGAACCAGTGATGACTTGATGACTGAGCCGCGGAGCTGAGGGTGGGAGGTGGGATAACAAGCGAGTACTTGGGGAAGAGAGAAGAGAGGCCAGAGATCTCTGGATCTCGAGATCTGAGTGCCTCTCTTTATACAGCCCTGTTTTCGGCCAGTGGCCGATTTCCAATACCTCCGCGGACTCGTTACGCGAACGAAGGAGCGTAACGGTTCCTAGCCGTTTCCCAAGTCTTAGTGCAACGGTAACTTGAAACGGTCCGGCTGAAACGGTCCATTTGAACGGTAAAGTAAAACCTGTCCGGAAAGTGTTTTGGCCATGTTTCCCTTCTCATAGAGTCGTTTCGCGTTCAACCGAAAAGCCCCCTTGTCCAAATTCACATTACAATTGTCAATGACTGCACTGAATAGTGTTGAAGAAACTCCATAGGGAGTCGTCGAGATTTTGGAGAGGTGTCCGAAAAAGAAGACGGAATCCTCGCACGGCTGTACGCGAACGTCGAGGTAGGACTCTTCCATTGTGCGAGCGACAGTCCAATCCCCCAGATGCGAATGCAGTAGGATGGTACTCCTATTGCAGCGCATTCCGATGCGGCACCCATGCAAAGCGAGTGTGAAGACCACAAGACTTGCGGGGGTGGTGTGACGCCAGCGTGAGACAGGCAAGCTTGGAGCCAGCGGAAAATGCTCGCTGAGGACGGTGTGAGCCGTTGACCCGGGAGGGCCCAATAGTAGCGACTTGTGGAGCTAGTGTTCCGGCAGTAACGGTCGTATCGTAAGACTAGTGTGGTATAACTACCTTCGTCCGGACCACTCGGAAACGAGGGGGTTTAGAGGTAAGGGAGCGTGCGCCGCTGGGTAACTCACGCGCGAACGCAAACCGTACGGAAGGACTCGAAAAGAGGGAAGGCTCACGTGGCCGGTGACGTGCAGCCGGTCGGTAGTGTTAGATCCGGACGGCCAGTCACGGGTTAGAAGCCTGAGACTAAAAGGGAAACCGGAACGGGATAGCAATTAGCCGTAAAGGGAAGGGAGGCGAGTCTGCCCCCGTTTACTGGAACGGGGCAGGTGCCCCCGGTCTTAACCCCTACGTGGGACGCCAGGACACCTGTCCCGCTACAGTAGCTGTTACTTACTGTATACCAGCTACTGTGCTAAATTGGCTAATTTGTGCCATTAACTACTAATTGCTAATTACTTACCGGACGGGTCGCACACGTGTGCCCGTGGCCACGACCGGCGTCGACGGTTATGCCACGTGTACGCCGTAGAGGTACTACTGCGTTTTCATAGGGCGCGTGCACGATTGCTACAGTAGTAACTGCCCGTCCAGGCGGTTCTCATCTCCCATCGGGGGTCGTGGTGCGGAATTGTACCACAACTAGGTCGATGAGCGAAGACTTCTCTGGATATAGTCTAGTGTAGGATAGGGTATGTGCCAGTAGAGACCGATTTTTCCGTAAAGCAATTGCCAGGTCAATTGACCGTTCCGATACTTGAATGTTGTCCATACGAAGCGCGGCGCCAGCCTCTCCCCTTTCGAAGAAGACGTAGGGAACTAGAACAGCGGTAGCGTTCCGAATGAACTGACGATTGAGAGCAGGAGCGGCCATGGCAGCGTTGAAGATTTCCTTGGCCACGGTGCTCGGGAGAGCCCTCCGTTCCTTGTGTGCGTACTGTAGCTTCCACAACTACTAAAATCCGTGTCTGTGTTTCTGTCTGTATGTCCTTGCGCTCCCGCGTTGCCATTGGCGCACGGGGGCGGCGCCGCGGTGACAAGTGGCGGCCACGTGCGGGGCGTCCTGGCCGCAGGCCAGGCCGCCACGGGGACACGTGGCGTGACAAGTGGCGCGCCCCGGGTGACAAGTGGCGACACGTGGCCAGTGGCGGCCGCGAGTCACAAATGGCGACACCTGGCGGTAAAATTAATTTTATTTTGAATTTCGAACTGTTACACCAATGCGGCACTACAGTAGCGTGCCGGTGACAAGTGGCGACACGTGGCGGCGCCCCTGGTGACAAGTGGCGGTGAGGCGAAAGCGCGCACGAATAGAAACCTTTTTTACATAGCGGCACGTCGGCAGCACAGTACCGGCTTTCGAGTTCAACAACCTTCAGCAATTTTTCACCACGTGACGGTTCCCTGGTAGCGTGGTGACCAGAGTCTGGGCAAGGCAGCGATCGTGATTCTATGCCGGCTTAGTAGTGGGTTGAATACGGCATTCCCCGCGAAAAGTTTACCGGATTGCTTGACGGCATCCGGATAGTCCCTAGGTGCTATTGCGCTTTGCTTTTAGTAAAGCGTGGTAGTCTGCCGCTGTGCAGGAAGCCTAATCCGATAGCACACCATTTCTTGGTGTTGTAGTATCGGGCTCGGAACAACGGCCTCCGAGGAGCAATCTGCGGACGTCGGACTGACGTTGTTTTCAACGTCGACAACGAAGATCAAACGCAGCCTCCGTCAAACTATAGAGGCTGCAAGAAGACCCAGTGTAGGTGCCGTTAGGGCTTGGGAAACCTAACCACCGCACTGAGGGAAAAGGGAGCGCGCGTACATAGCGACCCCGGCGGGAAGAGCCTTGCAAGAGGTTCTTTCTAATACCGGGCTCCCTGGGAGTAGAAATAGACAAGGTGGTCGTACTCTGAGTATTAATACTGTACCCTGTGTATACTAGGACCATTAGTCTATTTCTATTTCTATTTCGTTTTTGGTTCTTTTGAATCACGGGATAGTACAAGACAATAAAGGCCCTATATTGTTACTCTTTTGCTAAGTGCTCTTGCGGACGACCTAGCTGGCTGACGTTGCGTTTAGACCTTTGAGGACTGCTTGCTACGACTCATAGCGATCTACAACGGACCCCTCGCACTTGCGTCAACCCTAGCTGCACTTGCAGGGATAACACTAGCGCGCCGAGCAGAACATAAATGGCGGGAACAGCGGGCGAAGACGTGGCAGAAGCAAGACGGCAGCAAAGAAACGCGCGTGCAAGGGAAAGAAGAGCGCAAGAGTCTGAATGTGACGCTCAAGCACGTCGTGAGGCACGTCGAGCCCGTGCGAGAATCCGGACGGGGCAACAAACCGAATCTCAGAGGGAAGCGCGTCGTCAAGCCAACCGTGAACGTACTGCAGCACGAAGAGCAGCAGAGACGTCTGAGCAGCGCGAGGAGCGTCTCCGTCGACTGAGGGAGAGAGCCAGGGCGCGCAGAGCGGGAGAAACCACCCCCCTCTGAAATGCGCGGCGCGAAGCGGATCGCATTGCGACACGAGGCGCTAGAGCGGAGGAATGTACTCCTATTCGTGAGGGGCGGCGAGAATCGGATCTTAGTGCAACGCAAAGAGGCCGAGCCGACGAAAATACTCCACTGAGATCTTCGAGACAGGAGTCGAATCGCTTGGCAATGCGACAAGCGAGAGCTGTGGATATATCCCCCGTCATTGCTGCGCGGCAAAGATCCGACCGCCAGGCTCGAAGTGCCTCTCGACAGCTCTTCCCTCCACTACCCGAGTCCTCTCCTTCGTACCGCGATCTCGGCATGATCTGTGTTGAGTGTTCGCACTGCAAAGCTCTGCATTTCGTCCAAGAACGCATCGGGAGCAGCTCTGCCGCAAGGCCCATTTTTTCCACATGCTGTGGGAAGGGGAAGCTGTCATTGCCGCTTCTCCCCGACCCGCCAGCTCTTCTGCGCTCTCTTCTCATCGATGATACTCCAAGGGCCCGCAGCTTCCGTAAGAACATTCGAGCACACAATGTAGCGCTATCGATGGCATCCGTGGTCACCGAATGGGTGAACAGAGGTCCCGGTCCTTCTAATTTTAACCCCACAATGACGATGCAGGGCGGGATGTACCATTACATGGGTCCCATGATGCCATCCGAAGGGCGGGCGCCTTCCTATGCTTCCGTTTACATTCATGACACTGAATACGCCACCCAGACGCGCACAAGGCTTGGAACCTCTAGACAACTGGAAGAGGCACTGATGACGCAACTGACACACATGCTGCACGAATGCAACCCCTACGTGCAGACGTTTCTGTGTATGCGAGAATGGGCTCAATCTCCTCACAACAACTGTCCTGCCACGTACCAGATGGTCATCCATGCCGACCGCAGGCCAAGTCATGAGCACGTGCGCCGGTACAATGGTCCCGAAGCTTCTGAAGTCGCCGCATTGATCCCTGGAAATGAAGACGGAGAGATTGGGCCAAGAGATATCGTCGTGCGCAGGAGAGGGACTCTGAACAGTAACGGGAACGAAGTGCTGGATCCGATTTCAGTCAGTCATCGTGCATACGATCCATTGAGTTACGTGCTTTTGTTCCCGAACGGTAGAGATGGATGGTATCCAGAGCTTCGATTCTCCAGTGTTCAAGACGGCAGACGTACCAAGATTACTCCGATGATGTACTACGGATGGCATTTGTTCGAAAGAGCAGGCGATTTCAGCACAATCTTGCACGCAGCACGACTCTTTCAGCAATACTTGGTTGACCAGTTCTGCAAAGTGGAGGCAGAAAGGCTTTCTTATCTCCGCCACAACCAGACACAACTTCGAGCCGCCGACTACACCTCACTGCGCGACAGCCTAGGAGACTCCCGTCGTGCTGAAGATGAAGCCGATGCCGTGCGTGCGGGACGACTGTTCATTCTCCCTTCCACGTACATTGGAGGTGACCGCTATATGAGGCAGCAGATGCACGACATCATTGCTATATCGAACCAAATTGGCCACCCGGACATCTTCCTCACCATGACATGCAATCCAAGCTGGCCGGAGATCACAAGAGCCCTACTGCCGAACCAAACGCCTCAGGACAGACCGGATCTGTGCGCACGTGTGTTTCGTCTCAAAATGAAAGATCTCATGTCCTTGGTCATCAACGAAGAAGTATTCGGAACCGTTGTTGCCCATGTACGAGTCATCGAGTTTCAGAAACGCGGTCTTCCCCACGCTCACGTTGTATTTTTCCTAGATGAAGTCTCCAAGAATGATCTGCGTACTCCCGAAAACGTCGACCGCATTATCTCTGCCGAGATCCCGTCTGCCCAAGATCCAGAACTCCAAGAGGTCGTGCTCAAGCATATGATTCACAATCCATGTGGAGAACACAATCCAACAGCCGTGTGCATGGGCGAGCGGTACTGCAGGAAAGGGTTTCCAAAATCGTTCAAACACGAAACCAGCCAGTCCGACAGTGAGTACTACATCACGTACCGAAGAAGGGCACCCTCTGCAGGTGGCGTCTCCATCGAGCGACCCTCCCGTATTGGCCGACGACAGCAACCCGTCGTGGTAGACAACTCCTGGGTCGTTCCCCACAGTCCTGTGCTTCTACGTTCATTCGCTTGCCATTTGAATGTTGAACTCTGCGTGTCACGCGTTGGCGGAATCAAGTACCTCTTCAAGTATGTGTGCAAGGGACAAGACCGAGTGACCATGGAAATCACTGCCGAGAACGAGCGCTACGACGAGATCTCCAACTTCCAAGATGCCAGATACGTTTCGGCATCGGAGGCCGCATGGAGGTTATTCTCCTTTGACATTGTAGACCGCAATCCTCCAGTAGTCAGGCTTGCAGTGCATCTGCCCAACCACCACACGGTTTACTTTGAGGAAGGGCGAGAGCAGGAGGCGGCGCTTCGACCAGCAACAGGCACGAAGCTGACCGAGTGGTTTAAAGCCAACGAGAAGTACCCAAGCGCGCGGCATATTCGGTACTACAAGTTTCCAAGGTACTTTACGTGGAAGACACACACCAAGTCATGGAGTCCAAGAGCAACCCTGCGAAGACGGAACGCCAGCAGCGAAGAGGAAGCCTACGATTTCAGTGGTACAGGTGTCAACGTAGTCGGTCGAATCTACACTGTCAGTCCGAGGGAGGGTGAGCGCTACTTTCTTCGCCTCCTCCTCACACAAGTGCCAGGTGCAACATCCTTCGAGAACTTGCGAAATATCGACGGCGAGCAGTGCACCAGCTTCCGACAAGCTTGCTTACTACTCGGTTTGCTGGCCGACGATGCCGAGTGGAAGCACGCAATCCGAGATTCATTCCGGTCAAGCTTCGTTCCTCTTTCTCATCTGTTTGCTACGATTCTGGCACACTGCCAGCCTTCGGACCCTCTCTCGCTGTGGAACGACCACCTGGACATGTTTCTCACCGATATTCGCAATCGTGCACGCGGACAACCTATTCGAAGACAGCAGCTTCGCGATGAT